AGTCGAGGAGAGCTCAAAGGGTCCCATTTTGGACTGCTGTTAATCGGGGTGGAAGAGAGTGGGCTTTAGTCATAACAATGCTTCATCCTGGCCACAGTTGTGGTCAGCACTTTTTTTGAAAGTGTGAAAACAGGCATGTTATGTCATTTGGGCCAGAGAAATACTTTCCAAGGCTGATCATGAGGAAAACACAAGCTTGTTAGGAGTTCCTGCCAGCAAACAGTGTTTTTGATAAAGTCAGAACGAGCTGAGTCCAGGTGGTGTTTTCAAGGACAAGGCTTAACAAGCATTTCTCAGATTACACTGCAGCCTGGAAAGGAGTAGGGAGTTGGGGTGCATCACCACATCATTCCAACTCTGGTAGGAAATCACAGGCTGCCTCTCAACCATTGTGATATTCCTGGAGCCCGGCTGGGCGGGGTGGATGGGATAGAAGAGCAACACTCCCAGACACAAAGCAAAAAGAAAAAACCCAAATATGGTATGAGATAAAAGACCATCCCCAAGACACCTGAGTAGTCTCAAAAGGAATATCCAATTCTGATCACCCCGTAGGAATTCAGCCCTTACTGATGAATGAATGGGAAGAATAAACATCTCTGCTTCAGCATATTTCACTTTTGCTACCATGATTTGTGATTTTTCCTTAATATTTAAAAATGCAAAGGTCAGGGATTCCAAAGTGTTGTTTATGGTCCTTTTTTGCTTATTAAAAGACTGTGTTTCTGCTGAGGATTCTAAAGTTTATGTTCCTGTATTGCATATTCCATATAAGTGAATTATAGCTATATATTTTTATAGCATACATTTTTGTAATGCTTTGAACAACAGTGTGTTTTGAGAATATAGGTTAAGTATCCTTCAATGAAATAATCTCACTGATATCAGATCAAATAAAAGTAAAGTACTACTTAGCCAAAGCAAGAAAGGTAATCTGATTTTAAGCAGTTTCTCTGTTAGGACAATGATAGCCAAATCAAGCAGTCCCTGTGATTTTAATATATTCAAAAAGGACTAAAACATAGTATTTAAACATTAAATTTAGTTCCTCTGATTAATTCTCTGTAGCATTAAATATGGCAATTATGAAATCAATGCGTTTTTACCTCTAAAGCTTTCAATCTTCTTCAATACCATCAACAAGTTTAACTCTTTCTTTGAATGCTTTAGCTAGTTGCAGCCTAGTATCTGCAGTTAGTCCTAATAATAATGATAACAATTATAATAAAAATCAGGAGATTATGTTAATTTAGTTGCATTCATTACAATTCAGCTGAAGGGCTGTACATTTGTGTTACAATCCCCTTCCTCACATATTATTCTAAGAAGATACTACCAATATTAAAGTTGAATGGTTTTATGAATGTTTATTTTCAACAGTAAACTCTACAGACCAAGCATTCAGGTATCTTTCCCTTCTTAGGTGGTGTGTGTGGGGCTTCTTGTTCCATTTTGGTTCCCTCTAGATCTTCTGAGAGATTCTGATTTGCTATATCCTCCAAACAAAGAAATAGAGAACACTTAAAACAGCCATGGCTGTCATAAACACATCAGGAGAAATACCTCTGTGGTATTTGTTGATACAAATACCACAGGCAAATTGTGCTCTGTTTATAATATTTAGGTRGTAGATATTATTTACACTTTCAGGCAATTTTTCTGAGAAATTGCTAAACACACTTTAAAATGCCTAGGCTAGTGGATAGCCTTTATTAACTCATAAATTTATCTTGGTTACCTTGCTACTTGCATAATTCTGAACAAATATCCCTGCATGTGTCCTGTTTAAAACCAGCAAAAAGGACAGACCTGAAACATTTACATTGGACTGAACTGAGCAAATGATTATTAACTGATACAGCTGCTTATAATAATTCAGAACATATCTCTAATTTCACAGGTGCTCATAGATACTTGGCCCAACACGGTTCTGTATTGCATAATAAAATTGATGTGTTTTAAAGCTCTAGACTTCAGTTTCCCAAAAACCTTTCGATTCTTGTAATTACCTTTCTGATTTTACTGAAAAAATATACTCACTCTGTACTTTATCTATTTATCCCATTCTTTGTACACCTTATTACACAAAAATCACACTGCAGTATTTTTACTTTATATTCACCTCTTTGGCTACAAGATAATATATTAAAATTGTGTTGTGTGTAAAGAGGTTGTGAAAAGTGCTATTGTGAAACAAAACAGAGGCACTAGGAACAGTCCACCTTCAGACTGAATTTCAGAATCACTAATAATTCATTATACCAGTTAAAGTTAAGGAGGGACTACAATCAGTGAAATCAATAGTTTGAATTCCTAAATAGTTTGGTATCCTTAAACCCATCTCCTTTGAAGTACATATTCTGAAAAGTAAATGGTATAAAATGGAGACTTAATTTTTTTAAAATCTGCTTTATACTCTGTACTGCTTTTTTTTAGAAACTGTCATTCCTATTTTTACGTTTCACTCTATGAGTGATGATGTGAAATGATATATTGTCCCTGAGTAAACTGAGTATTAGAATAATAATACAGTATTTATTGAGTCTCTAATTTGTGATGGAACTGTTACAACTAGATTCATGGCAACACCCTTTTGTACATATGGTTTTTGAAACTCAGATTTGGTCAGATTTCAAACTGTTGATATGTTGGATGGGTTGGATTGCTGTAATTTAAGGCAAAGTATTCACATATTCAAAGTGTGTAGACAATACAATTATTTTCTGAGTAGTTTGGAGAAAGAACCTTTGCCATGTCTGCCTGCAAGGAACCACTTTGTCACTGAAAACCAGGAAACAAAATCTCCAACCAGTTTGTTGGGTTAGGAAGCTGATCCTACTTTATTCAGCATGCGGGGTGCATGGGAATAGTTTTACCTAATGCACATTCACTTCCAAAACTTTTCACTATTTATACACTRTAGAAAACAAAGAAATTAATTTTCATAGGCTAAAAATTATGTAATTATCTTCATTAATTAGTATTCTTCTATTTGTTATTGTTCTCTTGTTTCTCATGCTAATTAGTCCACTTCTTAGTCTTTTTATCTTTTTCCCAAATAGAGAGGTTTCAGTTCAATTGCTGAATTGACTTTGTCAGTTTCTTCTTTATCTTGGGTTTCTGCAAAATGTCCTTGTGGTCCATTAATTTTGCATTACTTGTGTGCAGTTGCAGCAATAGATCTGCTTCCAAGGCTTTGTTAATGTCCTTCTAGGTCTGAGATCATTGAACCATATCAAAGCAAAATGTAAAGTTGTTAGCAAACAACTTGTTTTAGCAAAACGTAAAGTTTCAGTCATTTTCTCAAATCATGTGTCCACAATATCAGCTTATGACAACCTTGCTAAATTACTACAGTGGCATATGACAGAGTGGAAAATTACACTGTTTATGAATAATTGAAACAATTAGAAAAGTTAATTAAAACAATTAATTAGAAAAGTTAGGAGGAACATTATATAATTTCCAACACTAGCTGCCACCAGACCTATTAGTCAGAGATGTAGGGATTTAACACAAAGCCACATTAATCCCAGCAATTTTTGCATGACACAAAACTAAGCATTAATCCTGGATAGGGTTCAAACACTCTTGTGTGAAGGTTAAAATAATTTCCCCCCACTGCTGCATAAACTTCTTTTTAAAGAATATAGCTTGTTTGGTAACACTTTATTTACAGGTCCTGTGACTGGCCACAAAAGTATATTTTACATGCTTTACTCACTTCAAATATAAAGATGAAACATTAAACTCTGATATCTAAAACTTGTGGTTGACGGATGGAGGCTATGGAATGCTGCTTTCTTGAAGCATAATTGGATTATACATGTAATGGTATTATATATATATATATATATATATATGTAATGGTTATCTGGAGAGGACATGAGACTACTGAAGGAACCTAAGGGAGCAGAATCACAGAACATGCTGATTTGGAAGTGAAAGGAATGAGAAGGGAGTGTCTTTACAAACAGACTGACTCTGGGGCTAAGATAAGGCTGATACTACGAGATAGAAGGAAACAATGGAAAGAATTTTCATAGGAATTCCTTTGAGYGACTTATCCCAGACTATGTTAATAGACTACAAGAGCAGAGACACAGAGATGTATATTGAAAGGGGACAATGTATGATAGAAGGGGCGGTTTCATCAGGCGTTTCAGGGAGCCTGTGCCTCTCAAGTATCTGAGCCAATGGGGAAAGAGAGAGGGAACTGCAGCCGGGAAAATAAGATAAAAAGAGGCTGAGTCCTCTGTGTATTTGAGAGACGCCATGGGAAATGCCCATGACCTCTCCCTTTATTCATGAATAACGTTACGGGACTCCTCTGTCTCCTTTTTGGACCTAAACCTGTGGTGCTTGTGGATTAATTTTCCCGACAGAAGGGATCCATCAGGATCAAGTCCAGCTCCTGAGCCTTTACAGGACATCCCAAGAATCACACCACGGGCTTGAGAGCATTCTCCTAACATTTCTTGAACTCTGTCAGGCTTGATGCTGTGAGAACTTCGCTGCGGATCCTGTTCCAGTGCCCAAGCACTCTGTGAGTCAAAAACTGATATCCAACCTAAATCTCCCCTGACTCAACTTCGCACCATTTACTTAAGCCCTGCCACTAGGCCCCACAGAGATCCGTGCCTGCCCTGCCTCTTCCCCTCAGAAGAGATCCGTGCCTGCCCCCTTCTTCCTCTTCCACGAGGAAGTTCCAGACTGCGATGAGGTCTCCCCCTCAGTGTCTTCTCAAGCTGAACAGACCAAGTGAACTCAGCCACTCATTATATGGCTTCCTCTCCAGACCCTTCATCATCCTTGTAGCCCTCCTTTAGACGTTCTCCAGTAGTTTAAATGTCTTTTATATTGCGGTACCCAAAACTGCCCCCAGGACTCGAGGTGAGGCAGCACCAGTGCAGTGTGGACCTGCAAGTTCATATGAATAAAACTGAAAGAGAAACAAGAGTGCTGCTATTCTGCAAAAGTTTTACCACACGTTTTGCCACGGTCCTTCCTTAAAAATGAAACATTTGGAAAAGGAAACAAAACACCCTCAATACCAGGACGGACTCACCCGGGTCCGCCCCCCAGCCCCTGCACSTTCAGGCGCCTCCCAGCATGCCCCGCGCGGGCGCGGCCATGTTGCGGGACCATGTTCCACAGCAGCACGCAGTGGCGGCACTGGACCTTCCGCGGTGAGGAGGAGCTGGCGCGGCGCCGCGCTGAGGGGAACCGCCGGGCCCGGGCCAGGGCGGCGGCCAGCGGGAAGGTGCGCGGGGGTGCGGGGCGGGCGGGGGCTGCGGGGTGGTCTCGGGGAGGAGGAGCGGGGCGTCGCAGTGATTCCGCGGCGGACTCAGGCGCGGCTTTGCTTCTCCTAAGGTGCCCCAGGGCGACCCGGTGCTGCTGGAGCCGCACGAGGAGCTAGCGCTATGCAAGCATTACGAGAAGCGGCTGCTGGACTTCTGCGCCGCGTTCAAGCCCGCGATGCCGCGGTCCGTGGTGGTAAGAGAGGCGAGGACGGAACTGCAGCCTCGGCCCCCGCTTAGTCTTTCGCTTTCTTCCTGTTTGGTTTGTTCGGAGCGCGGATATCTCTAAAACCTCTTTTCTCTCTTCCGAAACTCCTATCCAAGCTGTCTGTGGCCGCTTTTTATCTTTTTTGTTTTGTTTTCTGACACTTGCAGTCATTTCAAAACCTGATGTTTTTCAACGTGATCGTCTGCTTGTGGCTCTTGAACTTGAGTGGGTGACTGAATTGTGTTGTTTTTCTTTAGCAAAGAGTAGAAACAAAATAGTGGTAGATGGTTGATGGTAATGTTTGATGATACAATGAAACAATCTCTCAGTAGCTAAAAGAGATGGTCTCCAATTTGGACTGTCCGTTTTTTCTCCAGCATTAATGTTTGTCTGACCACAGAATTAACTGGATCAAATATAGCAATATACTGACCTCCAAAGGAAAAACAAAATTATCTTTAACTGACTGGCTTGAGGGCAGAAGAGGGCGTTTCAGAAGGGAGAGAGTAGGGACTTGGAACCGAAGAACAGAGTGAAATTGTGCTCCTCTCTCACTAAACCAGTAAGCTGTGTAACTTATGTTGTCCTTTGTTAGTCCTCCCTTTTTCAAGTAGATGTGGTGAAGAGTGCCATGCTTGAAGATGCCTTTGAAAAGGGGCAGTCGCTGCCATGGTATGTTCTGTGAAGCCAGGCTGATATTTGAGAAGTAGCCCCTGCAGTCTCATCAAGTAGGGGTTTGGGAAAGCATTAGCTTTCATGTTGATAAACATGCTGCAAAATCTAGTGGTCTAAAAAGTGAAATGGTTAGGATTGCTCGCAGCTTTCAGAGTGATGTTTTTCAGTCTTTGATTTTTAAATTTCATTTCAATACAACATTTTTTTCATAAAGATACTGTTGGCTTTTTCAGCATTGTTTTCCAAAATATGTCTAAAAAGAAAAAATATTTTGTATGGCAGTCATATTGTAAGGTTCTTGCAGGCAAAAATACAGACTTTGAAATATTTAATGACATGGCTGTGTATGTGTCTTAGTGCCTCAGTGTATCTGTGTGCCTGTAGTATATATTCAAACTTGCCTGATCTATGATTTTTTTCTTTTTATGTATTCATATTTTTTTTCTTAATACTTTTTTTTCTCTTCCCCATTTTTTTTTCAATTTAGGGAACAGCTTGCATGTATTTCAAACGCTTCTACCTCAATAACTCAGTGATGGAGTATCATCCTCGGATAATAATGTGAGTTATCAACAGTTCTTAAGTTACTCTATCAAATGGACTATTAGAGGTAGGATTTTTATCTTTGTAAAAACCTACCTGAAAAAAAAGGAAATTTGAGAGCTTAAGTWGGAGTAAAGACAAAATCTGATCAGTTTCCGTTTTCATGTGCTGTGTTCAGAACCTGGTGTTTTAAAGATACACAAATTCTCTGAGCAGAACTCTATAGAAGAATGGATGCTGCATATGTCAATTGTTTGAGTTTTTTTGGTTTTTTCTTCTTCCAGGCTAACATGTGCATTTTTGGCCTGTAAAGTAGATGAATTTAATGTATCCAGTGCACAGTTCGTTGGTAACCTTCGAGAAAGTCTTCTTGGACAGGAAAAAGCTCTTGAGCAAATCTTGGAATATGAACTACTACTTATTCAGCAACTGAACTTCCATCTCATCATCCACAATCCATACAGGCCATTTGAGGGATTTCTAATTGATATGAAGGTAATGCTCTTTGCTATGCTACGTGTCCTGTATAGTGAAGTAATACAAGGCTGTCATGCATTGTCTTAAAAAACTTTATTTCCTTTTATGCCTGTGATCTTAAAAGTTCTCATTTCTAAAGTGATAGACAAATACCTGAAAGATAGTTGTATCACCTGTGATCTTTAAGCTATTTAGGGTACTCTTGAAATAAAAATATGATCTGCTACTTTCTAGCTTTATAAAATATAGTTGAATTGTGTATTCTGAGCTCATGAACAAGAATGATGAACAGCTCCTTATTTTCCTAAATCCTTACTTTTCAGACTCGCTATCCAGTGCTGGAAAATCCTGAAATTTTGAGGAAAACAGCTGATGACTTCCTTAATCGCGTGGCTTTGACAGATGCATATCTGCTCTTTACTCCCTCACAGATAGCTCTCACTGCCATATTATCTAGTGGTTCCAGAGCAGGAATTAATATGGAAAGGTAGTGTTTTCTTTCTTATAGGTGCAATTTAAACAGTATATTTGATTCTTGTGTAAAACTCTTGCACTAGATATTCTTAGTAGAATTGTCTATTTGCTGATTGTTAGCACTGGTCTGTTCTTTATCTTTTAGAATGGCAGTGGTACTGTTCGTTTGATTTTCACAGATAGGTGATAAAAGCAGTTAGTTGGTGTCTGGTTTTTATATTCCTTTGGAAGAAGGAAGAAAAAACCACCCTGATGACTTTGCCTAGTTAGAACAGCATAGGACTTTCAGACTGAGCTTGAGGGTTACACAGTTAAGAAAAAGGAAATATGGTAGAAAGTGAAAAAAATCCAAAAAGTTATTTTTTAGAATAAAATACTCCATGTGCTCTGAATGAATGTCAAATGTCTCTTGTTATAAAAGAAAAAATTTGGGAGTATTCTCAACAGGATTAATTGTCTTCTCAGAGTTGTGTAAAAACATTCAGTTGCTGACTTTAACTTGAAACTTGATCTCGTTCCTAGATCTGTATGTGTACTGCTTGTGCGAAAATTCAGAAAAGTATGCTTGTGAAAAGAATTAAAATAATTTGTCGATAGTGTGTGAATCAACATGTCTGAACTTTGTTTGCATGTTCAGGAGGAACTCAAATCTTTGTAAYCTGTCTGCATCATACAGTTGTTATAACCTTGTTATTTATTGTTTGATGTGAGTCTTTGTTGCTAGACRTGAGAGAAGCTGATGGTGCAGCTTCTGTCTGTGAACTTGTGTGTAGTGTACCTGCAGAAGTGGGACAAAACACTGGGGAGCTGAAAAACCTGTTGCTCCCATGATGGRAGTGATAGAACTTCTTGGTTGTTCTGTGTGTTGAAGTGTTACTCATGCATGTTGGGTTTTATCCAGGCTGTGTGCATTAGTGTTCTTACTAAAAAGAAGTGAGATCTTAGTGGTAAGAGGAAGGCTTGTTTAAGACAGCATTTAGAAATAGCTTTCAGCTGCCAAAAGAAGCATGGCTGTCTTGCAAGCTCTGGTGTCTGTTGGTAAGTCTGAAAACCACTCTTCTGTAGTGTTTGGTTGTCCTGTAGGCATACTGTACAATAGTGTGATGTCATAAAATCTKAAACTTAATTTGCAGTTTAGAAATGTTTCATTTGGCAGTGTTATTGCTATGTGGCTGGGAATACTTTTGTCACTTGTTACAGTGACAGACTTGCATTTTTATCATTGTATAGCACTTAAGTAACCAAAGGACTCTTACTTACTCTAATTATAAAACTCCAGGAGATGTAAGTAATAAATAATTTGCTTTTTGTTAACTCACTGTAATTGCCATGAACTGTATGACACTTCAAGAATTTATTCTTCCATGTCTCTTTGCAGCTATTTATCAGAGAGTCTTACACTGAAAGAAAACAGATCAACTCTATCCAGGTTACTAGATGATATGAAATGTAAGTAAACATTGTAGAAGCATGATAAAGAGTATTGCAAAAGGAGGAAAAACCATCTTTTTCCAATTACAAAAGCTTTAGGCAGAAAAGTGTGCTTCAAATGGTTTTCATCACCTTAAGGCATGCATAGGATAAGTAAAACAAGGGCGGTAGAATGAACTACCCAGCATATGGATGGAAGGGGAAAAAAGACTGACATGATGAACAAATTAATATGAACAAATTAAATAAGTTAACAGGCAAAGGATCTGCCTGATGCTTTCAGAATCTTAAGTGCTAGCAGCTGATTCAAAAGTGAGAAATCTGTTTTGAGAACTAGGTAATGATTTTTGTAAGACAGAATTAAACTGCTTTTCAAGTCACCATATCTTAAAAATTATAGCTTAAGGCAAAGCCTGCATATAATTACTACTACCACCAGAAGATCCCTTTTGTAAGATAAATGATTAATGTGATACACCAGGATTTATACTGTGTATCTCTTTTGCAGCTGCGAAGAAATTTCAGAAGATGCTTAGTTTCACTAGTTTCACTAGTTTCACTAGTCTCCCTGTTTTATGTGTGGGTGTGTATTTTACAAATATTAAGAATATTGCCATGGTTTAGCTAAGGTAAAAGGGAATGTAGTACACTGATTATTACCTTAATTAAATTAAAAGTCTGGGATATAAAATTGCCAGTAAGTAATCAGTTACTCAATGCTTTAAGTTAATSCATGCATGTAAAATGGGAGTGGTGACAGTAATACTGCAGTCTTTGGCTAGGCTGATGTGAGCAGTGAATGCACAATACAAGTAACCAGGGTATTTATTCAGTTTACATTGAATTTATAAAACATAAGATGCCCTTTCCTCTCTCTTTAACAAATGCAGTCTTCAGACTTCCATTGCTGAGATGAAAGGGAATGCTAGGATCACTTACTCCTCAATTATTCTGGAAAGTAGCTTTAGCCCAAAAGCAGCTCTTCTGTAAACACAAGATAATGGGAAGGAAATTTTTCAAGCATTTGTAAATTACTTTTACAAAAACAAAACTAGTGGTAGAGCAAAAAATCTTGTAAATTGAATCTGCATTATTAACAAGACTAGAACTGAGTATTTTTTTAATGACAGCAGGTACAATGCTGATTGCAAAAACTACCTGTGTATTTTGAAGCTTGTGAGCAGAGTAATGTGAACTCTGCCTTGAGGAAATCCAGAGTCAGTGATGTTAGAGACTTGTTTCAGTGTTGTTACAATGAGGGAAGRAAAGATGAATTGAAGGAAGCCATGACTATGAGACATGAGCAATATTCAGCCATGCATCTGAGTGATAGGGTTGTGTAATTCACAAGTTCGGTGGGTTGACCCGTACTGGATGTCAGGTGACTACCAAAGCTGCTCTATCACTGACCTCCCTGTCTGGGCAGGGGAGAGAAAAGAAAATAACAAACTCATGGGCTGAGATAAGGGCAGGGAGTGTCACTCACCAGTCAGCTGTCATGGGCAAAACAGACACAACTGGGGGAAATTATTAACTGCCAATCAAATCAGAGCAGGGTAGTGAGAAGTGAAAAACAAATCTTAAAAAGACCTTTTTCCCCAGCCCTCCCTTCTTCCTGGACTAAACTTCACTCCTGAATTCTCTCCCTCCAGTGCAGGGGGACTGTAGTCAGCTTTTCATATGTTGTTGCTGCTGCTACTTCCTCATCTTCTTCCCCTGCTGCAGGGTGAGGTCTCTCCCACAGATACAGTCCTGTGTAAATTTTTCCAACGTGAATTCTTCCCACATTCTGAAGTTCTTCACAAACTGCTCCAGTGTGGGTCSATGACACAGGATGCAGTCCTTTAGGAATGGCTGCTTAAGTGTGGGTGTCCCATGAGGTCACAAATCTTGCCAGCAAACCTCCTCTAGTGTAGGTTTCTCTCCCCATGGGTCCACAGGTTCCTGCCAGGAGCCTGTTCCAGCACAGTATTCCCAAGGGGTCACAACCTCCTTTGGGCATATCCACCTACTCCAAAATGACCTCCTTTACAGGTTGCAGATGGATTTGCACACTCCACACTCCTCTTGACCTTCATGCAGGAGTACAGCTGCTTCACCGTGATCTGCACCAGGTGCCTGGAGCACCTCATTCCTCTCCTTCCTCACTGCCCCTGGTAAATGCAGGGCTCTTCTCACATATTCTAATTCCTTTTTTCAGCAGTATCCAAACAGGATTTGGGTTTTTCTCCTTTAAATCAATTACCCAAGAGGCAAATCCACTGTCACTAACAGGCTTGGTCTTCGTCAGTGGTGGATACCTGTTGGAGCTGTCAGSTGTTGGTTCTGTTGTGCATGGGGGGAGCCTCTAGCAACTTCTTAGAAAGCCACCCCTGTAGCCCATCCACTACCAGTATCTTGCCACAAAGGCCCACAAAACAAGGCAGAGCAAAATTATCTGTATGCTTAGAGCTGTGTTGTTGCTATTTTAGGCATGAAAAATCTCATAAAGAAATACGAACTGCCAAGGCCTGAAGAGATTGCTGCTCTAAAACAGAAATTAGAGAAATGTCACAGCTTGGAGCTTTCACTTAATACAAACCCGTAAGTAAATCCTGGATATGCTAAACTTCTGCATTTTTATTGGCATTTCTTATCTGAGTGATGGAAAATGAAAACGCTTAAATGTTTAAGCAGTGTTTGCCCACTTGCTATAAATATCTACTGGAAGCTGAGGTCCAAGACTCAAAGTAGTACTTGTATTAATACATAAATAAGTTCTTTTGTGCTGATTTGCACTGGAAGCTGAGTCTTTTGTAATACAAAAGAACTGGAATAGTGGGTGACTTCTAAGGTCTGGCCACTTGATGTTGTATATAATGAGAACCAAGGGCTTTAAAATAATGTGATTGAAACAAGAATTGTGTAAAGGGTTAATTTTCTCTTAAGAATTATGTGGCTTGGAAAGGACTTCCTGATTGTTCTTTTCTGCCCTTTTCAATTCAGTATGCATTCTGAACTTCCAGCAAGCTGCTTGCTGAGGCTTTGACAGTTTTTTTATGGAACAGGCTTATCTGTAACCTAATCTTGGGGTTAAATAAAGCGAATCTTAACTTCCAGAATATCTAAGCATTTCCCTTATCTTCTGGGTTAGGAAGAAGAGGAAGGGTTATGAAGATGATGACTATGTCACAAAGAAATGTAGAATGGATGAGGTCAGTAAACCTATTRTACAAGTTTTTCCTGGTTTTTTTTCACGCTTAAGTACCAAGACAAAAGTGACACAGCTACTGAGATAAACTTATGGATCTGTAATATTATTTTTTTTCATCTTACGTGAGCTAGATTTCATACTAGCCTGCACTTGAAAATGTGTTGTGGAGAGGGGAATGATCATGCAGTCCATCTTTCCTGCTGTTTCTTGTGCTTTAAAAGTTTTTATTCTGTTTTGGTTTCTTGCTCAAAGCAGTGCAATGTGCTGGAATAAATTTATGTCAGACAATTTACTAACAAGGCTGCATGAGTTACAGATGAGTAGCTAGTACTTTGGATTATAAAACTAAGTATAAATAAGGTGGAGATAAACTGACAAGGGTGAATCAACCAATGAAAACAGTGTTAAGGTTGTCTTTTACCTGTGAACACCTTCCATAGTTTTTGTTTGTAACACGAACAGGAAGTTGTAGAGAGTCCATTCTGGCAGAGATGAAGAATCCTTTTTAACTGGACTCCTCTTGATACTAAAGAGACTACATACTGATAGTCAAACACATGTTAAGCATGGCATTAACGATGCCATGGAAAAATGTGCTAACAGCTGAAGAGGGTCATCTATCAAAATCTGAAGATAAATGACACAATTTGTGTCTTTTGCTATTAGAGATTTTTATAGTAGATTGATGCCATAATGTCAAATGAGAATCTAAAAAATTATTTAAACAAGATTATAATAAAATTGGCATTGAAGGTATGTTCTAACAAAATACAGAACCTTGAACATATATTTGTAACTTCAGTGCAGTGAGAACTGTCATTAATGTTCACTCCAAATGCCAGTCTTAAAAAGTATATTGAAACTGGCAATTCCATAAAACAGGCACTTTCAAAACTTTAAACTTTATAACAGAATACTAATGAAACAGCTCCACATAAGCTTTGAAGGTTTCACTTGTTCCCCGATTTAATTTTAATTAGTTACACTACTGTGTTTGAGGCATAAATTCACATAGCCTGCAGCACTTCATTACAGACTTGCACAGTTCCAAAGTCCTGAAACTTTTCATTATTGATGTATCTGAAATAGGTTTCTACTTCGGTAATTTCATTTCCGAGTAATCAAATAAGCAGATCTGAGCTGACCAGGACACAAAGGAGAAAGTGTGCATAACGTTTTGAAAGCTTACAGAATGCAAACTCTTGAGGCTTCATTAATGCTGTAGTTAGCTGATATTAGACTCTAGTCTACAAGTGCACAGTCAATTCTGATCTAAAATGTTTCCCGATTTAATTGCTTGCAGCTGAAGGTCAGTATCAGTAGGAAAGCTAGAACCGAGAGGGTGAGCTTATCAGTTTGAAATGACAGAAGAAAGATAATGACTGAGCACAGGTGACTTAGCTGCCAAGGTGATGAAGCCATGAAAAGCACAAGACATTAGAAGCTGCAGTATGAGCTGCTTTGGACATCTGTATGTAGTTATGCAAAATAAAGAATCATAAGCTTTATCTCAGGTATTAAAAAGGGGATGCTAAGATGACTCTGTCCATGACTATAAGCATAGGTATGCATAACTAGCTTTAAGGTTAAAGGCCTGACTTTCCCCAAGTTAAAATATGTTTTAGACTTTCTTCTGTTCATAGAAGCTCTGTAGAAATTTTTAAAGGCACAGCATAAGGAGCACACCATGGACAATGTCACTCAAGATGTCTTTTTCCCTTCCATTAGGATGAGTGGACTGATGATGATCGTGTGGATTCAGCATTACTTTGAAGGAAGATGGACTTCTGCCACTGCAAACTACTTTCTGGTGTCAGGTGTGACTGCCTGCCACAGGTTCCTTATTCTGTGTCACAAGGTTTTTGTGCTGTTAGTTCTTAACTTGCAGTAAAGCATTTTAAGCTTTTTTCCTAAAAGAATGAGTTGTGGTTCCATTGAAGCCTCATCTAGTGGAGGTCAAACACTTGCTTTAAGAAATATGGTCCTGGTTTTTGGTTCAGGAACGGTCTGATGTGGGTGAAGTGTAGGATAAGAGCTGATTTATTTCCTTTTCATACACTGTATTAGAGTTCTACAATCCCCACACCTAAATGCAGCTTTGAGTGTTGCCCAGTTTCATTCTCTTCACTGTATTTTTTGTGTAACAGGTAAATTAGCTAGGCAGCTCTATCCTTTTATTCTTCTTTTTACCATGTTATACTGCCTATACCCAAGCAATTAAATCCACAAAATCCCTTTTATGCACTGTGGAAGATCTRAGTAGGACAGAACAAGAGATTAATTACTTACTCCTCTGAGCTGCAGTTTCATACAAGCTTGACGTGGTTATGGGACAATTTTAAGAGACTACTTCAGTACCAACGTCTTTCAAGCAGGTGTATTGTCGCTATAGGAGAGCATCACGTGTGTCTGCCCAGTGCCATGCGTGTGACATTTGGAAACTCTCGCCTTCAAGGAAGCCGGAGACCAGGGCAACACAGTAAGAGCTACTGTAATACTACTGCAAAGGTGCAAAAGTGACAGTGGAGTAGCAGTTCTAATACACAGGAAAAATAGTGTAGGTGTTGTAAACAGTGTTCATATGATAATATTACTTAARTGATACCTCATTAGTTGTGCTAGAGCATCCCTTTTATGTATGTAGTGTGTAACACATGGTGATGCTGAAATACCCTCTAAATCAACAAAATGCATTTTACTTTTCATTTTTTTTTTAATGGTTTGTGGCAGTGTGATGGGAAAAGACACCTTCCACTAGACCAGTTAGTCCAAGCCTCATCCAGCTTGACCTTCAGCTTGACTTCTAGGGACTGGGGCAATCCCAATGCCAGCCTCTCTGGCACTGTGCCAGTGCCKCTTTTATGAGAATGTACAGTGATGTACAAATTAAGGGAAATGGACAAGATAAATGTTGTCTGAGGACTCACACTCAAAAAGTGATATAGCATGAACATTGCAAATACACCACCTGTGCAGACACTGTAAAAAATCCACAGCAGCTGGAGTTAGCCAGTTTCCATTGAGTTGTTATGCAGCTTGATTTATTTTAAAAACTTTTCACTTATAAAAATAATATTTATGCTAGACTTACAGTACACAAAAGACCAAACAATACCTATTTTATAAAATGGTTTAATGAATGCATGCATGTCTGATACATGATCAATAAATTTACTCAATTCAGATTATTTACTGTTGTAAACATTTTACAAAAGCATTGTGATTTATCTGGATACACAGTTCTTGATAGAAGAACCATTCAGACTGAATCAGTGGCACATCAGAAAAATAAAGCTGACAAGATCTCTTCTCCATATTCTCTTTCAACATAATTCCAGCAAGAGAAACAGCATGGTATAAAAAGTGTACAGTAAAGGTTGCTCCTACCATAACATCAAATTCTGGAAACTGTAAATGCAAGTTAAAAAGTGGTTGAAACAGTCAAAAGTCATAATTATTGTAACCAGTCAGAAATTACAGTAAAATGTTATCCAGTTATAGGCAGTTGTCAGAATACCACTTCCTTTTCATGTCAGTTGATAATTATTTTCCAACCAGACAGCAAAAACTTTGGCAATCAGAGGTGCTGAAAGTTTTAAAGTTCAAGACAGAGTCACAGCATTTTCTCTGCAGAAGGTGGCTCAGAGGTTGTGAAAACTGTTTCCAAGTGGAAAAAAAAAGTGCAAATGTCCTGCACAGATAGCTTAAAAAAAGCTGCTGGTACAATCATTCACCAACAGGATCTTTGTTTCCTTTTTGCATAGTTCACACATCACTGGGAATGTGACAGGGTGTGCTATTTTTGGCAAGAGCAAGAAGAAAGTGATACTGATGTGAGTTGCCATGTTGGGCATGCTGGATCTGTGCAGAATTCAGGTAGAGGGCTGCTACCTGATGTTGTTAGACACCGAATACTGATTTTGTTTTTGTTGTAGCAGTTCAGTAATGGCCAAAAGCTTCTTAAGAACGTGCTGTAAGAGAGAGTGTGTCAGTAAAACCACATTAGCTACTGGAGACAGAAAAGTCCTCCCTGAGCATCATTTTCAGCATCAGCCTATGAGACCTGTGACTACATAAATACATTACTGAAAAACAAATACGGAGTCATAAGGATAGTCTTAAAACAACGTCATGAATTTGCCTCTCCTTCCATGGATCTTGTTGCTTGTTAATAAGGAGGCAGAGAAAGTGTACACCTAGGGTTTGCCAGCTGAGTTTGCCAAGCTTAAAAGTGTGCTGGCAAACTAAGCAGAAATGACATGTTAGCAGAAAGCTAAACAAAGTGAATTTAGTTCTCAACTGAAGAAAAATCAAGATCTGAAATCTAAGACCCAGAGAGCCTGTCAGGAGACAGTAATTTTGGGGGTTTAAGGATTCCTCTGGAAACAAAAAATCCCCAAACCTACTTGATTTTGTTACATGAAGGAACAAAACTATGGATATGGACTAAGTATTTCCTTCACAGCTAAAAACCTTGTGGTGAAATACAGCATCAGTTGTACTGCTGGAGAAATACTACAGAAGAATCCCGGTATTAAGGAAGTAACTCAGGACATAGCACCTCTACCTGTAATCTGTGTTAACTCACCTGCATCACCCCTCGCTCGTTGCTGAGTGTCCGAAGCTCATCTGAGTGTGCCACACAGATCTCATGCAAAGCTGCCAGGTCACGGGAGAGGTCAGTTCTAGAGTGCTCTGTAGTGTCTGGAAGCTCAGGAACATTCTTCAACAAAACAGAAGACCAATTTTGCTCTTTTCCAGCTAAACCTTCAGTCATTTCTGTTACAAATAATCTATTTGTTTTCTTCTCTCCACAGGCATGTGTTTTGGGAGCATATTGCAATTTATATTCCTAGGAGAATTCTTACTAGAAGATCTGGTATTGCTCTATTACCTTTGACCTGACCAGGAACCTACGGCATGGAGACTCAAACCTAAATGAAAGGTGAATCCATCCATTAGGAGCTTTTTTTAATCTAAGTGAGGGAACAGCGACAAATTCAGCAAAATCTGCTGTTAGCTATAACATAAATCATAAATCAGTAATGCTGCAAATTAAAATGGCAGATTAATCCAACAGGTATTTTCAAACCAACAGTTATCAGAGACCTCATACAAAATCTGTCATTTAAAGAAAACTGATGTATCACAGTATGCAGAAGTTGTGATTTAGTCAGAAAAGGATGAAACCTGGAACCTACTCAAATTTTCCATTTGATCAAAATATTCTGAGATAATTTCTAAGTACTTTAAAAGAACTAATTCACGGTGCTTAGCACATTTTTTTTCATCTGGATTTTTAAAATTAATTATTATTGGCTTTAAAATACATACACATAACGTGGTGACCTACCTGCTGTTACAGCTATCATACACACAAAGCAGTCCCACTTCAAAAGGACTCCGTGACAGCAGTTCACTTTCAAACTACAACTCGTAGAATGCATGCAGTGAAACTCTGGCCAATGCTTACTGAAATTCAGCCTAACATTTTTAAAGCAAAAATTAATTTCGGTCTCTGGTCAAAACCATGTGACAAGTTATGTATAAAAATTTTTGGTTTAAAACATGGTTTTGGAAAGTTTGAATTTTTGGCCAAAACTTTATTTTCATAGCTATAAAATCTACTTGAGCTTCTCACATTTACAGAGGCACTAAATTAGTAAAGTCCTGTATGATAAACTAGCAATTTTTAAACATGCATAAAMAAATGTACTCAGATGAAAGCATTCAAAATTGTGTGGAAACTGATACACCGTTGAGTTAGTTAATAAGAGGCGTAAAGAATTTGAATTTACACTCCTGCTACATAACTTCAGCAAACTTTTTTTTAATCACTTACCCCAAGTTCATCCAAGAACATGATCATTCGATGTTTGTTGCTCTTGATGAATGGATTTACCCCTTCCATATATGGCTCCTAGTAATTTTAGAAAGTATTAACAAATCAATTCCAAGATAATTGTCACACCTGACGCAAACACAGTGCGTTTGGGCAAATGACACTAAAAATAAGTATGTAAATTGGAATTTTATAATCTTTTTTCAAGTGAATTTCTAATGTATGGTTTGCAGCCAGTCAAAAGACTATAGAATTCGGTATTTTCTTGTATTCAGAAGATTAAGATCTGTGATTCAGAATTTTTCTTACACATGCACAATAATATGAATTTATATTAAGATGAGTATCTCTAATACTTGTTTGCAGTGAACAGATGCTCTATGTGCAGAGGTATAATCAGGAACAATTGCTTTCTTCCCTGTTTTGTCATTAATTCTTACATTCCAAGTTCTGTGTGTCAAGAGAAATAATTTTCTAATGCCAGCGTGAAGCTATGTTAATTGTGCTTAGGTCAACAGATTTATTTTTAGCTGTGTGTCAGCCTGGAAATTAAGATCAATTACAGCTGGCATTGTTTTAGTGTTTTAATAGAAACTTCATTGAGAGGTTGGGCTTTTTAGTGCAATATGTACACTTTACTCACAGCTTTAATTATGTATAGCAGTACAAACAGGAGAGCTTTGAAGTGCTCTGTCACAGAAAACACTAGTCTAAGGGGTGATAAAAGCAAGGTCAAAGTGGAGGAAGAGAAAGTCAGAGGTTCTGCATGAGAAAATAGCAAGAGATTTTTTGCGTGCATTACACAGGAACATGTGAAAAGTATACTGAACACACAGTTCTAGGATGTTCTCCATGTATGAAATTATATTCACCTTAGCTCCAAATTCAACCAGATTAGCTAAATTCTGCACAGACTTGGCGACCAGCGTCAGCGTTCTTGCAGCAATGGGGGAAGGAGAATCTGGCAGGAATGCAAAGTGAAGAGTCACTGGCTATGCAATTTAAAATTAACAGCAGTCACATAAAAATGAAGTTCTCCCATTCATATTTTTAATGCAATTTTTTTAATATAACAAAACTGCATGTGAAAGATATCAGTTGGTAAAATCAAATATAATGTTTTGTAATGTCCAAAATACATATTAATCTGATCATCTGGTTCCACACAGAACAAGGCAAAATAATATGTTCGTAGGAGTTACATGAAATAATAACAATTTTTTCAAAACTGGAGCAGTTGTATTGAAAGGAGGATTACTTGTTAAAATAAAACGTTTACCTTTGAAATAAAAAAGACATTTAAATTTTCTGTATTTGCTTATATCCACGTAAGTGGGCCCTGACAAGTTAATACTTTGAAGCTACTGGCAGCAGGAAAACAGTGAACGTTCATGCAGTCATGGCCTGTCTTTCCATGAAACTGTAGTCTGTAATCACTGAGACTATAAACACTTTATGTTAACCACTTAAGTCAGTTAGAAATTTCTTTTCCAACAAGCGATGTTACGCAGCAGTATCTCACAAAAGCACATTTCTTTCCCATTAAGGTAAATCACCGGATTAAAAGCATTCCACTGACAGGGTTATAAGGTCCGTAAGTTTGCCTTAACAGCAGTCACAAATACTAGCTGGAGGTAACTCAGCAGGATTGTAATGGACAAGCTTAAAAGGCATTACTAAAATTTTTAAAAGCAATGGGGAAAGGAGAATCTGTTTTACACCTGCAGTCACAGTGCAACCCAAGTTAGGAGGTGCCTAACTTGCAAACTATCCAAAGATAATAAAATGCTAAAAAAATATCACTTGTTCCAGGCTCTGTTTCTCAAATGCTTTCTCCAAAACATCTACATAAATTATTACTGTGCGAGAGAGAGAAAGGAACTTTGTTTACACAGTCCGTCTCATTTAGAACAGTTTAATAACTGAAGGTAGAAAACATGCCACATTGTCTAAAAGCTGTCTGTAAATAAAGGAAAAGAATGCTTTTCTGAATACGATTTTTTATTTTCTCCTGTATTTCCTCCTGTTTTTCTCCCTTTCTGAAGCCTACCCCTCTCTCATCTTTAAGATTCTGTTTTTAAGACTGACTGTATTCAATGAGTCAAAACACCACGCCAAGAGCTGGAAGCCATCTATGCAGGACATTCAGACAAGTTTTCAACAATAATTTTCTAGATATACAAATACATTCCAAGTTCTGCAGACACATAACTTTATAAATCTTGTTCATTTCAGAAATACCACTACATTCAGCAATTAACTCGGGCAAGGTAGCATACTGAAAGTGACATCTAAGTTCCCATTACATTTTTCACACTGCTACAATGCATTAAACACTGCAAGACAACATTTTATTATTAAATATCACAATGCATGGTTTTTTCGACTTTAAAATAACATTGGCAATAACCATAATCAAGCCTTTGAGGGTGAAAAGCATATGCCCTAAGAAGTCAGCCAAATTATATGAATAACTTGACTTCAAACAGAGCATTCAAAAAAACTTCCAATTTTGCTATATTAGACACCACAGTGATTTCATGCCTCCTGCTGCATAAAGTACAGATAGATTCAATCTGAAGAACATAGTCACCTGAGATGATATTAAACATCCTTGGGTTCAGGATAGCAGGACAAATCAGTCGAAGAAAAACAAAGCCACTGAAATGGAAAGAAAATTGTATTTTGTTCAAAAACCATGAGAAAATTAATGTAAAATTGTGTAGTCTTTCAGGAGTAAAGTTAATTTGGGATCTTGCTGAGACAAACACCAAGCAACTAGTCTGTGCTCTGCCAAAACATCAATTAAGATCACGGTGCTATGATTCTATGAATTGCAGTGAAATCTGAAAGAATAGGCACTTCGCTTTCCCTGTAATAGTGAACTGTTTAAATAGTGTAGGAAGAACTTAATTGCCAAGTAATAACAAAGCCAATCCCAGACCATGCTGGCTCAAAAAGGAAGAGCCCTTGGTCTCTGACCTCCCAAAAGTTCTTCGCTGTCTGCTACTTCAAGTCATCCACCCCACAGCTACCCACTTCTCAAAGTCATCACAAGCTGGAGTGCAGGAGTGGGTAGGCAAAAGAATCCTCCCCTGACAGAACACACCTTTAGGTCAGTTTCAGCTGATCAATTATGGTGATGATAGTACAATTCAGTGGAAAAATAAGGGATCTAGTACTTTCCACCATGAAAGAACTGCTGCTATCTAAAAAGCTGGAAAAAGTGTTCTAATTAAAGAACTATGAATTAATGGAACAGGAACCCAGAACAGGCTTCAGCAGCATGAGAAAGATCTGCCTGTTAATACCACAAATAAAAATCATCCGCTAAGGTCAACCTAAATTCTAGCTAATTGCTGTACAATGAAGTGGCATACAGATGAACTAAATAAATCTAAAACAACGGTAATTTTGTCCTTGGACATCACCAGCAAGCTGGTTTTCAGTACAGCAATACCAGAACCTGACCACTTAGGCAAAGAGGAAGGAAACCTCACACTACCTTGTCTATTGTTAAGTACACGGTGATGGAAATGTCCACATTACTTGAAAGTGACAAACAGCAGTGAGGTTAATGCACCTTCTGGAAGTCCAAGAACACCTAGTATGTTCTGTTATAGATATGTCTTACATCTCTAAGAACTACAAGTTCTGGGCTGGTAAGAAAACAGTTCTTGGCCAGAGGTTAATTTAAAATACTTTTGGTGGCGACAATTTTAATCTATGAATAAGTAATTAATTTTGAAATCATAGTGCATACACCAATCTCTCTCTTAAAGTGCCCAATGATGAAGGCCAACAAAGTACAAATCTAGCAGAGACCCTGCTGATAGGGAAGATCTGATACTTACCTTTGTCAACCTGCCTAAATTAAGACTGACCAAATATCTACATGGGAGTTTTACAGCCAGAGAGAAATGGCAGCACATTCTGACAGATACAATAGGGAAGATACTCAGATATCAAGAATTTGTCCATCTGGCTCTGAATATTTAATCACTCTTAAACCAAAAGCAGTGCAATGAAAAGTAATAAACATCACTGGAAGCCATGAAACTGCACTCTAGAGAGAGATCTCAAGTGTATCCACTTGTCAAAATGGAACACCACAAAAGCAAGTGATAAAGTATTTTTATCATCCAGTGGAGACCACTGGGAAAACTGAAAGTGAGCTGTGTGTCCACTAAGGAAAGTCACATGGTCCTCTTCAGAGCTGGGAGGTACAGAAAGATACAGAATTCACTATTGAGCCTTACAGCCTTCCAACAGCTTAGCCCCTCAGAGTATATGGAGCTCTCACAGTAGGAGCAGTCTACATTTGAAGCCAATGCCACTTCATAGTATGGAACACATAAGGCTTTTGGCATTAAAATGGTAAATACAAGCTCAAGAGAAATCCTCCGAAAGATGCCTTCATGGGATATTAACTTCTGCCAACCGTTCAACTGCCTGACTTCACAAAAAAGAAAACTTAGGCTTTGATACCCTTAAAAGCCCTGGCACATCTAGAAAAAGTGTCAAGATCACATGTTTGTTCAAAGTTTTTGTTTGACCTACCCTGGCAAAGAACAGAGTTAGAAGAACTTTCGCATTGCACTGGCTTAATAACTTAAGACTGAAGTTCTGGTGGCTGGTGTGAGTTCAAAAGAGCCAGGTTAAGTAAGCTCCACAACATTTTCAGATGACCTCCAGAATATTTCGACATAATTGGGTTGTAGTATTGTAAATTCGAAGTTAAAACCATTAAGTAAAACTATATTGACCTCTATATTACATCATTTTATTCTGGCAAGGCTCTAAGAACAAGACCAAGAATCCAGCAAGCTCAATCTTTATCTGGGACATTGTGCTTTAGCATCATAAATATCTTCAACACTGTTGTAACCTGTGTAAGTATATCGTTTTGTCACTAAAAGAAAACATAGGTAAGTACACTGATGTATTCAACAAGGCTTGAAAGAAATATTTCCAGAATAAGGTTGACAAGTAACTTACCTAACAACT